TCAGCAGGAGCACCCTGACAGAGGAAGGCAGGGCAATCAATATGCCTTAAACCACAGTAGCCGGAGATGTCATTATAAAGCAGCAAATGCAAAGTAATATCCCACTTTACCAGGATACGATCTACCTTTTCATTTTATAGCCACAATAAAATAACAAATTACAAACCAGGAGCCATTTGGCAAACACTGATCCATTAAAAAGGAAAAGGTGAGCAGCCCCCCAGGTGAAGATGAAGGGAGGCTATTTGGTACCCCTTTAGTCTCCCCACATTGTTTCTCAGATCCCCCATAGCTGAAGGCACCAAGACAGAAGGGAAAAGCAGAAATGGTGAAATGCCAGCTTGCAATGCTCGTTCTCCAAATGTTTATTTAAAGAATGAATATACTTCCCATTATAATTCTAAGCAGAGTTGGGCACCCAGCAGTGACTCTTGTAGAAACCCAAAAATTAAGACACCTATCTCAGATTCAGAGAACAAGGATTCATAGTCCCATTCCACTTAGGTTGCACTGAACAAGCCTCTGCTTGTGTCTCTATCTGTTTTTTTCCATTATGTATATACAAAGCCTTAGGCCAGGCACTGTCTCTCAACTGTATTTGCATTATGTAGGAAACAACCCTGATCATAAAGCCTATTAGTTTTTAAAGCATAGGCTTTAGGGTAGCACTGAAAATTTCATATGACCATCACTGTTTTCCAAACAAAATGAATTCTATCTGAATTCAACTATTCAACTCTTTCCGCTAAACATGGGAAAGCAAATTCAGCCCTGATACAAACATCTGAACATCTCATTGACTTCAATGGCCATTCAGCTTAGCTATGTCAAAGCTGAATTAGGCCTTGGGTTTCAAACTGTCTTCTCTGCTCTTGCCATCTGCCGTTCTTTGCTAACCTAATTCCTTATTAAATAGGGTGTCCGCAGTGAATGTGAACCTATTCTGCTGATCCTTTCTCTGCAACAAACATTGCTAGAGGCTAAAATTCCTGAAAGTTATGACTACTTTGACTGCCTCTGCTTCTGGATACTATGTGAGGTTCTTTTAAGGTGGCCTGAAATTCAGACTGCGAATGTTTATATTCCTGAGCATTCAATCCCTTTGAGTCATATCTCAGACATTCAGAACTACTAAGTCATTTAGCAAACTGTAACTTATAACAGTACACGGATTCATTGTTCACCCTCCTTAGAGGTTTCTGAACTGGTAGTGCTAAACATGGCAGTTCACATACCATGTAGATGATGATAGTGTTATACAGAAAAAAAAAAAAAAGGAAAAAAAAGAAAATCAGACAGATAAATGTCTCCATGTTAACAAACCGATGGACAACAGATCCAGAAAATGTATTAAAGGGTCAAGGCAGAGGTGTGTCCGATGACATCCCTAATCTAGTGATTGTGGGTGCTGGAGCAAGTACAGGGGAAGGTCTGAAAATACAGGCTGGGTGCAGGTGTTCTCCCTATATGAAGTCTCTTACTGCTGCTGTCAAAGACCATTGCTCTGGCCCAGAGGGGCATTTCTTGTGTTCTTAGAAACTGTCTTTAAGTGAACTGGGAGAAGACTCGCTGCTGTTCTCGGAAAGAGAATGTGGAAAATGCAAACAACCTACCTGCACAGTCAAAATAAATTAAGCATGACAGGTTTTTTTATCTGTTACTAAGTGAAGGTTGTGAAAAGAATATTTGAATAGCCTGAATAAAGGAAGAAGCAGCCGTGAACTTAATTTAAACTCAGACTGAACTATTCACAAATTGAGAGCTGCTGAGGATCAAGTCATTTGGTTGTCAATTAAAGAAAAAAAAAAAACAACAAAAACAAAACCCACCTCTCATCTGTTTATCATGTCTCCACAATTTCATGTTTGAGGCAAGACTTGACATGAAAGCACAGCAGTTCTTTCAAAAAGAGGCTTTCTAATACATTTCTAATTTCTAGAAATTCCACAAGAAATTTAGTTTGCTAGATTTCAGCAAGAAAGTTTTGAATGTGCAGCCTGACATTTGGGGGCTTACTTTTAAACCTTTTGAAATCTCCTGATCTTTGTTTGTTTTCAGAGCTGGAATCTCTCTACAGGGCAGGCTGCCTCTTTAAAATGTTAGTTTAAAATCTTATAAAAGTAAGTAATAAATCTAGCACAGAAGCAATAAGTATTGGAGTTACAGGTAATATGAAAGTTAATTGAAGCCCTGATGTAATTTTATGCTTTCTTCATGCTTTATTCCACTGGTATTATGGGCTTATTGTCAAGATGAGAGCTGTGAAAAATGTTTATTGGTATCCTGGTACAGGCTCTACGCTACTTTTTCTCAACAGGGTAGCTAATTCGCTTGGGAAGACAATTTACTCAATCAACACTCCTCACTATTCATGCTAAGGAGGAGTGGAGGGAACCAAAGAAATAGGACAGATAAAGGGAGATGCACATACACTACAAAAGCTACCTTTTAAAAGGAGGTCAGTTTTGTTTATCACAGCTTTAGCACACCCCCAGCTAGGCTCAGTGCTCAACCTCTGCAAAAACTCCCCGGTCACATATACTGTCCATGCATCAGCTTCCACTTTGATGTAGCCTGCACAGATGGACTGCCTCATCAGGCAGGGAAACCTATCACATCATGGGACTGCCTCGCATGTGAGTTCTGCCCCAGCAGGTAATGAGGGTGCTGTAAACTAAAATCATGAGGCTCCGAGAACTTGAATGCAAGCATAGCTACCAAAGGCAAAGCATCAGCCTTAGCTGTTCTTTGATGCACTGTGGAATGCAAGTGCTTAAAGACATCCATTGCCTCAGGAATGTTTTTAGTTTCAAATTTAGACAATGCACATCACAGGACAGATAAACAGCTGAGAGAGAACAAATAGAACTGAGCTGATAATTTCCACAAGTCTGCAGAAGTCAACCAGCATTTTCTTATTGACTTGGATTGTGCCATAGCTGTTTGTTCTACCCTTGAAGAGCCATGTTTAGCATACCACAGGCACAAGAGTCAGAGTTTTTGCATTGCATCGGCAGGGCATGCTTTAAGGAGCACATGTTGTGACTTTGAAGAACTGAGATAGGACAAAGCCAGGATCCTGTCCCCTTGGGAATACATGGCTGTCCTGTGCTCATTTAGGAAGTGCAGAGAAAAAGCATGTGTTTAATGTCGCATTATGTTTATTAATGTGGAGGTTTGTGGGGCTCCCAGGCAGAATCCAGGTTTTATGTTTCAGGATGCCATCTTTACATGAGTCCCCAGAGTGTGGGACAGCCTGGAAAGTCATATCTAGCTAGCCCATCGCTGTGCAGCAGGACTCAAAAAGTAGTCATGAAATGTAGTTTGTTATGCTTCTCATAACGCCCTAAGTATCGGCTGAAAGGTGATGGATGTGGCATTATTTGACATTGCACATTAACTTGTCATCTTTCCTTAAATATAAAACCTTCTAGGTGCAAAATATAGCCCAATATCATGACACCAAAATCATAATTTATTTTCTTTTTAGTTTGGCTTTTGCTTTCAAAGTCTTGATCTCTTCCTCTATTAAAGAGCCAAGCAATCCTATATTGAACTCTTTCAAGCATATGGCTTGGATAAGAAACATCACTGGAGTTTTGACCAGCAAGTCATGCCTTATTTGAATGTTGTGGCTGGGAAATGAAACATTTCACTACCTATTTTAATTCTGGGAGGTAATATATGCATAACTGAGGAGGATATACCATATCTGGATATTATGTTTGCCTGTCAGTTTGCTTTTTTGGGAAAACAAACAGTACTTTGAAAGCAAACACTATAATTTTTCCTAATTATATGTCATTTTCTAAGATTGCCAACCTTATCCACAGAGGCCAGAGGCTCTGCTCATCTTCTCTAGTTGAGCAGTAACTTACTCTGTAAGTACTCCCTCTGAAATGACTGAAACTGATTACCATGCAGCACAGCTAAGTTTAGGTGAAGACAAGTGTCTTCATCCTTAAACATCTGGATCTTATCTCTGATGTCCTTTTGTTAAAAGTCAGATTATATTAACCTTACCTCAAGCAGTGCTTTTAATTTGACTATGCAGTTACTAACCCTATTCAGTGCTCTGGATCTCTTCTTGCAGATAATAGATCTACTCTCAACTTCAGGTGAACCAAATATCTGGCCTGAAAGGGTCCACGCTCCTGGACTGCACGGCTTTCCAGCAGTGTCATGGCTCATGCCATGATAACACTAGTTCACCTGCACCTTTCAACTCTCATGCTCCTGCCTAGGGAAAAGTAACATTTGAATCCACCGTTGCAGAATTTACAGGTTTTGCACTAACATGTGTATCTAGTACAAATGCAGGGTTGACGTGTGCTCTTTCATACCTGGCACATTACTTTTACCACAACAGAAGATAGTGACAAGGCATTAATTAATACCATCTTCTGTCAAGCAAAACTGGCAGTTTTTGCTTTGCAATAAAATGTTGATACAAATTTGTCTGATCGAAAAATTGCACATTTCTTCAAAGCAACTGACAGGACAATCTTAACTCAAAAGTATGCAAAACTAGAGGTCAAACGTTAGGCCAGTCCAGACAGTTTGGGCTAGGTCTGCCTCACTGCAGTTTGGCCCTCAACAACTACCATCTAATCAGGCAGATGAGCCCACTCTCAGTCTACTCAGGGGTCTTGCCGTTGCCTTGTCAAGGACTGAAATACTTCTTCAGGGTCTTATGCTGTAAAACCCCCTTGTTTTATTTGTTTAACTCCTGGATTGACTGTGAAAATCTTGCAATATGGCTTTTTTAGCAGCATGGAAGGAGGCTCCTTAGAATAAACTATACCTATTTATTCCTAAATCCACTAGGTGGATGTGTGCTGTTCAATCATTTCTACTGTGCCTTCAGTGAGCCTACCATTTTTGTCAGACCTCAAATGCAAACCAGATCCAGAATGTCACCCCTGAAGGAGACCATGAGCTGTGAGAGGAAAATTGACAGTGATAGGTCCTCTTATATGCACTCTATTATCTGCAGCTAAATGTCAGCAGAGTATGATTGTCTCTCCTCTTCTGCAGTAATGCAATCTGACACATATAAGGATTTCCTCTGTTGAGCCAGACTGGTTGCTCACCAAAGGGAAAAGCAGAAAAGTATAATTGGAAGAGTCATCTAAAGACACAGTTTGCTGAAAAATTGAGATTGTTTTCCTCCCATCCCCACCAGGTGCACCACAAAGGCATGGCCATTTACTTCAGCAGTAGTATCCACTAATGGGGAATGTCTTGCCTGCTGCTAAAAGTCACCGATGAGGAAATTAGGTTTAACTGGATACATACTGCTTTTGACTGTTGCAGATGCAACCATAGCATCTTCCGCATATGCATGTCGCACTCCCAGCTGTTGGTACATGCAGTTGCAGGTCTAACTCCAGGTAATCGAAGGGGCATAAAAATATGCCTCATCTCTTCAGTGTGGGCAAGATTAGCGTGATAAAGGCAGGAGATAAACTGTCTCACTGTGCAGTTAAGGAAATTGGACACAGTTCTTGCAGTCTTCTCTGTTAGCTCTGCTGAGAGGGTTAGAAGCTCATCTTCATGGTAATTACACACATGCATTTCTTGGGGGCAAGAAATCCTCTAGGCAGATGCAGTGAGATGAGCACCACAAGCTATTTGACTCCCTCACTGCATTACAGACATGCACTTTCTGCACCGTTTGTGTAACTGATGGCTTTTCTTTCTGCTAGCAGAGAATGGTTATCAGTAGCAGATAATCTTTCTGCTACCTTCTGCTTGCTTTCTGCAGTTAAGCTTAAGAAGTCATGATTAAAAAGAATTTGCATGAGTCACTTGTGCTTCCCTTCTTTATATCATTCAAGGAGTTCTCTGCTATTTTTAAACCCTTGTGCAAGGCAATGAATTCATTGTTTGTCTGCACTGCTGCCACATACAGGAACTAATTCTAGGCAAAGCTAGGAGACTACCTACTCTTTTAATGATAGAACATCACACTTCTTACCTGGCATTTCCAAATAAGAGAATGTACTTCAAAGCAAATTATTACAAGAGAAGGAAAATTCACAGTTTTTCCCTTCCTCATGCCTCCCAATTCATGTCAGAATTTTAGCTTATTTCCTGCAGACATTTTTTCCTCCAAAAAGTTCAGTGTTTTTCTCTCAATGTCATCATAAGCTGTTCACTGTGAACAAGATTGCTGAGATTGGGAGCAATTTTCTAAGCAACATTGCAATCTTATTCTCTTAGAATAGCTTTAACTTTAGGGCTGGTCTATACTTAAGGTTTCATTGGAAAATATATGTAGATATATTGTGGTTCAGAGGGCTTTTTGCTTGCTTCTGTGAGAAAATGCATGCACAATCTGAACCAACATTAGTTCATCACTGCTGGTCACCAGAAACGATGTTGGTAGGTAGAAATTCCTTGTTAAAACAAATAAAGGACAAAGTTTGAGACCGGTGTTGCATGACCTTGTAGTGTATGGCTGAAAATATAACTGTTCTCCCAAGCTGCCAACACTTCCCACACAAGTGAAGCATGCAAAAGCAATGTCAGAGTATTGCTAGCCTGGGCTAGTTCAAATCACTCCTGAACGCCTGACTGAGCTGAAGAGAGCTAATCCATCTCAGTGATGGAGATCTGCAATGACTTTAACTACTCTGCTATTGGTGAATGGAGTTCAATCCAGTTGGCGGCCGGTCACGAGCGGTGTTCCCCAGGGCTCAGTTTTGGGGCCAGTCTTGTTCAATATCTTTATCAATGATCTGGATGAGGGGATCGAGTGCACCCTCAGTCAGTTTGCAGACGACACCAAGTTGGGCGGCAGTGTTGATCTGCTCGAGGGTAGGAAGGCTCTGCAGAGGGACCTGGACAGGCTGGATCGATGGGCTGAGGCCAACTGTGTGAGATTCAACAAGGCCAAGTGCCAGGTCCTGCACTTCGGCCACAACAACCCCATGCAGCGCTACAGGCTGGGGGAAGAGTGGCTGGAAAGCTGCCTGGCGGAAAAGGACCTGGGGGTGTTGGTCGACAGCCGGCTGAACATGAGCCGGCAGTGTGCCCAGGCAGCCAAGAAGGTCAATGGCATCCTGGCTTGTATCAGAACTAGC